ATGGCTGGCTGGGGAATTCTGGGAGTTGAAGTCCACTCATCTTAAAGTGGCCAAGTTTGGACAACACTGTATTAGATTGTACAAGGTATGTGCTATTTGACTCTGCAAGCAGAATAAAGGCATAGCATGGAAACAGCCACTAGAGGACAGTCTTGCCCATTGCCTATTACTTGTATGAGTGCACACACCATCCCATATTTTATTCTATTACTGTTGGTTTTACTCTGGAAATGTACAAGTGTCAACACCGTAATGAAAAGAGACAGATGCAATGAAGGGTACAGCTTGTAGGTCCTTTCTTTGCAAGACCTGAAAAAGATACAGCCTTGCCTGCCATCTGCCATCACAAGAAACACTGGGGCAATTAATGCCTTTCTACAAAATGATATTTTTGCCCTCTTCTGAGATGTGCCTACTAAGTAACCATGTAGAAAACACACATCTCAGGGCAAGGGAATGGACTTAAAAGTGAGGGGATGATCCATTGTGTAATCACTTTAAACATTGTCATCATCTTTGTCCTATAGCATATTTTCTCTCTTCTTTTAAAAAATGGTGCAGTTACATTCTTTCTGTAATTCATGTAGCTATCTCTATAAATAGATCTTCAGTTGCCCAAGTTAGGAAATAAATTAGCTTTTTCCTTTGGGACATGACAATTACAGGAAAGGAAGAAAGATTGAATGGGGTTTGATCAGCCACAGGAAGAGCAGGAGTCGCAAATAAGACTCCAAATAAAGAAGATAAATGCAGCTCACCCATTTAATCCTTTGGGAGCATTAAGTACACCTCTTGTACTCCACAAAGCATCACATAAATACACATTTACTCTATCCAGCTTAATAGTTTTCATTGTGATCTTGCACTAACTACAGTCGTAAATTCAGCTTTAGAAATTCTGCTCAATTTCCCTTTTCAGGAAAAAAAAAAGTCTCAAAATTGCTCTCATTCATTTGGCATGAGCACATGCTGCCATTTTCCCCTAAGCCTTTTAGCTACCTCTTCTGTTGTATTTAGTAAATGGATATTGTATACTAATTGACCCTACAAGCTACTTGGAACAGGAAATACTTATTATATGAAGTATAATTAGCTGCCCATTACTATTATACTTTGCTAAAAGAAGCAAAATCAATCTAATAATTGGGGGGGGGGATCCAGTGCAGTGTTATTCTTTTTTCTCAGTTATGAAATGTCTTCGTTCAGTGGATTTCACACATACCTGGCTGCTACATCATCCCCCTGCACATTTTCAGAATATTCTCCAGACAATGGAATGACTCTCCGGAACAGGTTTTGGGGAAGGAATCAAAGTCCAGAAGAGGAAAGAACATAAACCTACAGCCACACCACCAGACTCGATGTTGCATTTCATCTATTGTCTCCCAGGTTAAGAAGCACTTCTAGATACTGTACATATTTGCTTTTTTTTTTTTTAAATACATTTTATTCCTGCTATTTTAGCCCTTGAAAACCTGGGCTACTCTTCTCACAATTTTTGCCAGCTTGCTATGCCTTGTGGATTGTATTCAGTGTTACAACCTGCTCAAATGTTAACATTGTGGGGTGCGGCCTTAGGAACCTGTTCATAGCAATTTCCGAGGCTGCTGTTAAACAGTGGTTTACTTTCAGGCACAAACATGGTGCATTTGTTGTTATTTGTCCATGAAAGCTTACATCATAATAATGTCTTTAAGGTGATGCAAAACTCTTAGGTTCACTGGTTCATTCATTTATTTTTTTTCCCTTTGCTGCAACCAAATATATTATGCTGCTTCAAACTTACATTCTTGTATTAATCATTTTTCCCTCTAATAGTGAATTTCATTATGGAAGCAGCAGATCTATCCTACAGCATTGGTGAAATATTTTATTGGTACATGTGTGTAATAATTTGTAATGTCTTTACACAAATCCCCTAAGTGGCATGAAAGTGATTTATGAGCTTCAGGTTGCTTGGAATATTGACTTTTGAAACATAAGGAAAAAGGGGGTGGGATAGAGATGAGCTAATTATCTTCCTCAAGTTTCTAAACCTTTTAGCAAATATTGGGAGAGGTTGAGGGGAAATATACTATCCCCTCTGACCTCTTACCCTTCTCCCACTTTGATTTTGTAAAATTGCACTGTCTCTTTGCACTTTTGTGGTATTGTGTACAGTTGGGTAGACAAGTTGTACTGTCACTAAGAGAACCTATTTGTCCCCAAATAAATCTCGTTCCTTACATAGATGGAATGTTCAATACAGTCTTGGCATATTCTATGGCAGCGGAGTGGCACATTGGCTTGATAACTGCATTTTTTTTCGTAGGCATCCATAGGAAGGAACAACTAGCAGTGCTGAAGTGAGACGGGAAGGAACACACAATTCTTAACTCAGTTGCTGTTTTTCATCAGAAGCTACTCATTGGGTATGTTCACATAACACACCCGTGATTAATTTAGCTGGGTTCACAAGGCACATTGACTTTCAAACTAACTACATACGCTCAAATGGGGTTGGCTAGTTGATGGTTCAGGGTGTTGTACAAATAGAGCGACACTATGCTTTGCTATTCTCTTGTAAAATTCCACAGTGGTATGTGAGATATGCTTGAGTGTCGAGACTTCAGATGGCTGTGGAAGAATTATTTTAAAGGAATCCTTTAAAAACTTGGAAGCCTAATGTGTAATGAACATGCAGCAGGGAAACAGTTGTTGCTGTAACATTGTATATGGCTGCATTGGAGCACTGTAACACTGAATAATTGAGCCCATTAAGGGGGAATTGTTTTCTTCCCTACCAGCCCTCATGAAACATTGACTTCT